TGGGACCTTGGGAGCTCAGTCCAGTGCTCCAGTGTGGGTCTCTGTCTCCATCCATCACCAGATAAAGGTTCTATGGTGATATGCAAGATATTCATCAGTATGGCTATACGATAGGGTCATTTCAGGTTCCCTATCCTCAGCTGCCCCAGGAACTAACTGGGGACATCGCCCTGGGAACCTGGGAGACCCTCTAGGTTCAAGTCTCTTGCCAACCCTAAGATGGCTCCCTTAATTAAGATATGTGCTTCCCTGCTCCCCTATCCAACCTTCCTTTATCCCAATCATCCCGTTTCCCCAAGTTCCCCCATCCTCCCCTTCTCACTTTTCTCTCCCCATTTCCCCTTACCCCCTCCCACCCCACCCCCAAGATTCCAATTTTTACCCGGCAATCTTGTCTACTTCCCATAGCCAGGAGGATGGCTATATGTTTTTCTTTGGGATCACCTTCTTATTTAGCTTCTTTAGGATATCAGAGATCTTCTCACATTCTTTCGGCTGTCTCTTCAGTCTGTTGATTGTTTCCTTCCCTGGGTAGAAGCTTTTTGGCTTTTGTAATTCCATTTATCCTTTTTTTGCCTTTATTTTATGTGCTTTTTATGTTCATGTCTTATCAAGTTGAAAGAAGAAAATGTAGTGTCTACAGTAGTGTGTTGAAGTGCTTACCTGGTTTTCTTCTCGTAGTTTCAGATTTTCAAGTCTTTTCATGAGGACTTATTTAATTTGAGCTCTTTTGTTTTTAAGTTTGAGTAAAAGTTAAGTGTCAGGTTTTATTATTTTTTTTACATACTTATATACAGACTGCCCTTCTACCAAATTATAATTTTAGTACCTTTAAAAAAAAAGCAGTTGGAGCACATGCTCCATCACTCCCAGTCCAGCTGGACTTGGTGAGCTCCCAATAGATCAGCCCCCCTGTCTCAGTGGGTGGGTGTACCCTTCTGGTCCTGACTTCCTTGCTCATGTTCTCCCTCTTTCTGCCCTGACTGCTCTTTGGAGTGGAGAGGGAGGGGGAGGAGGATTGGAGGAAAGGAAAGGGAGAGTGGGGGGAGGGGAGGAGGTAGAAAATTTTAATTAAAAAAACAGTTGGAGCTAGGTGGTGGTGGCACACACCTTTAATCACAGCACTCGGGGGCAGGGGGCAAAGGCAGAAGGACCTCTGTGAGTTTGTGGCCAGCCTGGTTTACAGAGTGATTTTCAGGACAGGTCCCAAAGTTTCAGAGAAATTCTGTCGGGGGAAAAAAAAAAAACAAGCAAGCAACAAACACAAAAAACAAACAAACAAACAAACCAGTTGGCTATAGGAGATCATTCCAGTTTTTCTTTGTCTTCTTCAGTTACTCCCACCCATGTTTTTGAGTTTGCACTGTATAGGAGTTGCACCTTCTTGGTAAAATCAATTAGTAGATTTAAAAACTATTTCTTATTTTTATGTAATAGCTATTTCAAATATGATTCTTTCATGAATTCATGTGCAACCAGTTTACTATTAATATATAAGAATACATTTGAGTGTCATGTATTGGATTTGAATTCTGATGCCTTAAGGTAATAATTTAATTTGTTTTCTATTAGGTTCAAATGAAAAACAAAACTTCATTTACAAAATAATGACAGTCTTTTATGTTGATCACTTTCTCCCCATATGATTCTTAAAATACTGAGCAAAACATTTCAAAAGATGTTTTATTTAGGTTTACAGGCAGTGAAGTTTTCATCTATGGTCTGTCTGGCTTCATTATTCTTTCCTGAGGAGGATTTAATAACATAGAGTTGGAGTCTTATGGGGAAGAAGGCGAGTCTTTTCATGAGGGATGCCAGGGAGTGAGCAAATGTCTACACAAGCAGGCTTTCTCCTTTTCACCTTTGTATCTTACTCACATCTGAAGCTAAAGGGATTGATGGAATACATAGTCAGGGCAGGCTTTTCGCCTTTAGTTAATCTTAGTTAATCTCCAGGAGCATCTTTACAGAAATACCCTCATGTGTGTTTCACTAATCTACTAGGCAGTTCTTAGCTCAATCAATTTTGGCAATCTCACCATCATACTGTTCATTAAGAACAGGATGATACTTAATTCTTGATTGCTACTTATAGTTTAGTTAAATTATACCAAATTTGCTTTTCCAAAACTAGAATTGCTCTTAGTTATATTACACTAGTCTATGTAAAATAGCTATAATTAAATGTAATTAACTAAATTGAAATAAAACTAAAGGAAACATTTTGTTGTTATGTATCAGGAATGTGTATCATGGGTGATAAATTCAAACTTAAAATTCATTTGTAAATAAACTAAAACTTACGATATTGGTAACAGCAATTTATTGTAACTTCTAGTGGCTTTGTGGACTAAAAATGTTCAGTTTTTTTCTTAGCATCTCTAATAAGATTATTGTAGGTTTGGAACTGATAATTTAGTGACCCGAGTGCTCGTTCGGGCTTACTCACATGAAGCTATCCGCAGACAGCTTGTCTAGGATTATTTATTGAAAACACGTTCTGTGTTCTCTCTGTATGGTTTAAAGTTCATTGAGCATGAGATGATTTTAAGAGAGAATATCCTAACAATGAACTTCATCCCCCCAAAGATAACAAGTAGAATGTAATAAGCTCATTATGAACATTCACTACAGCAGACAGATTCGTTCTTGTGCTCTTTTCTTTTGCTCAGGACAGTCAGGTGACCAGAGCAAAATTCGAAAAGAAATGTCTAACAACATGTGGAAATCATTGAAAATATTGTTTGCTTATCTAAAGTTCAAAAATCAATAGCTGTAGGAACTTATTATCTCAGACAAAGTAATTCCAGTAAAGACACTTAGTTTTCTTTTTGTTTGTTTCTGAACTGTTTGAACTCTTATAGCTGGTGGCACTCTTTTGGAGGGTTGTGGTACCATTTGTTACCTAACTGGCAAAAAAAATAGGACACTAAGTGTAACCCTCTGGAATCTTGGGAATCCTTTGTGCTAGTTTAAACTTCTTAAAATATTCTAGCCTGTACTATATCATCAAGCAAATGCTACCCCAAGCTTCCAGGTTAAAGAGGAAGTTATCTTAGCTGCTGTGACTTGCCCATCATAATGGACTGTTTCTTCTATGCCTATGAGACAAAATAAGGCACCACTATCTCAAATTGTTTCTTTAAGACATTTGCTTACAGCAATAAGAATAGTAACTAATACAGTCTACTTATTTTAAATCAGTAGTTTTTAGGAAATTTCGTTGAAAAATGTCAAAGAATGAGGGAAAAACAACATTAGTATGGAGCATGGTATCCCAATAGAAATCTCATATTTCTTCACCTGTATCATGACTAGAATACTTATATATTTTGACATTTTTATATTTGGCCAAATTTGAGTATACATTGAAAAATAAGATGTAATCAACCCTATATATGATATATAAACATACATTCTCTATTGAAACTTGTAACTAAAAAATTTTTAGAATAATCTCAATTTTGAACAAAATATTTTTTTTTATCATTTGGGAAAGTTTTAAAACATTCTTTGTAGGGACCAGCCTTGACCAAAATACCTTTGGCCAGGGTGGGGGTATGTGGATCAGAAATAGAAGTAAAGAGTACGAAGACTCTTTTAAAAATAATATAACAGAAACCATATAATAGTATCAGGTGGGAGTTCCTGTGAATACTGAAACCACCCGCACTTTAAATTTTCCATATGCATTTTTACCCAATGCAAAAGGGGGGAGAAAGTAACAAAAGACTTCATTAACATGATGCAGAGAACAACTTGAACATTATTGCTTTAATGCTTTTAGACATCAAGTCATTAGCATAGCATTTTGTTGTTTAGGCAGTGAAGCTACCCTAGACCAAGAATCCTGAAGGCTGTTACTCCCCAGGTAACCTTATTTTAGAAAAAAAGAGCAGAAGTACACTTGGCTTGCAATCTTGTCCATCTGTCAGGATGGAATGGATCTACCTGTATGAGCCATCTTATTGTCAAAAGAACAAAGTGACTATATCTTGAGTCAGGATGTGTAGTTACACTTGTTGTCAACCATTTTAAGCAACCTTAAAACTCTCTGACTAGGTGGAAATAAGCTCACATTTTTGGGCCTCCACAGTTCTTGTCAATTTTGAAGAATGCGTGCTGTTAGTGATAGTTTAAGGTTATTTCTAAATGACGTGTTCTTGGAAAGGGAGCTGCCTTTCGCAATAGCTTGAAGTGCATTCTGGCTAATAATGTTGTCTTTCCAACAGAAAATCCAATCGGATTTGACAAGTCATGAAATCAGTTTAGAGGAAATGAAGAAACACAACCAGGGGAAGGAGGCTGCTCCAAGAGTTCTTTCACAAATTGATATTGCACAGGTATATTTTGTTGTATAAGCTGGGGAATTTGGTTTATATATTAGACAACTTTCCTATCAGAAAATTGAAATTTATGCTATGTTGTCTAGCAATATAATATTTAAAAAATAATACACACAGTTTAAAGAAAAGTTAACCTATGACAACTTAGTGCTACATTTATGAAGAGTAGTAAATTCTCCAACCCCATGTTCTTTGTGTTAGAAAATGACAGATTTCCATTTATTTTTTGAAAGTTTTTATTGAGGTAAAACTTCAGAAAAGGGTAAATTAACAAAATATAACTGGTGGGTTAATGATTATTTCCTTATATTGCTGTTACAGAAAAAATTACAGGATGTCTCCATGAAATTTCGATTATTTCAAAAACCAGCCAATTTTGAACAGCGTCTAGAGGAAAGTAAGATGATTTTAGATGAAGTCAAGATGCACTTGCCTGCACTGGAGACAAAGAGTGTTGAACAGGAAGTAGTCCAGTCACAACTAAATCACTGTGTGGTATGTATTCCTAACAGCAACGATCCAGCTGAATTTTTACTTTGCTATATTAGAAGAATTTGATAATCTTTTGTAACAATGTATTTCTTACAAGTATAATAATTTTAGTAACTGGTTTTAATACTTAAAAAAACTGGCAATATATTAAGATATAGGAGTCCTTATAGAAATAATAGTCATTTGATATAATTTTAGGAGTGTGTTTTGAATCAATAGATTTATTAGTATCAACACAGAATAAAAAGAGTCCTATTTATATAATTTTTCTTCAGACATATTAGTAAACTGAAATAAAGAAGGGAAATATATCAATCTAGAAACAGGAACGATAGCACTAATTGCAATAGTTATAGCCACTCTAGAAATAATTCTTTTGGATAAGGTTAAATATATACAGTAGCCATCTTTAGTCTCAAAATTACATATTACCTGAGAGGACTTAAAGACAAACATCTGTGAAGGACACGGCAGATTTAATTCTAGGACTCCAAATCCTAGCATATTTTCATTTAATAGCAGTGCTGAATAGACACTTAAATGTCACCAAATCACAAAACAATAAAAATGAAGGAAAGATATAACCTATAACATAAATCTATATACCCTTTGGTATATCTCATACTATCATATGCCATCAGTCTTTAAAATCTATTAGTCACATAACCCCTTTGATAACATAAAATATTCATCTAGTATTCTGAGATTTAGGTATTGGTTTTATTATCTACTTGATACTATAAGTAAAAATAAGATATCATTAAAAATGCATTAGCTGTATCTGTATCAATGTGTAATGTCTCCCTTTTTAGCAAGTACTTTAAAATAAATGTGTGACTTTGTGATTAAAATGAAATTATTTTACTTGATAATATCATCAATCATTTGAATGCATTCTAATGATTTATTGTATTGTAAATTGTATTTAGTAGTTTCAGCAACCAGAATAGTATTTGATTAAAATGTCATGCATTGATTTGCTGTTAATAGACAGACATATACAAATAGGCAGGTATACAAAGGGTCTACCTTAAATTTTTAAACAGTCATAAAAATCAAAATGTTCCAAATATAGTGTCCATTTTAATTACACTGGCAATGGAAAAGATTTTCATTTTCTTCTAGCAGGATCTAGCCTTATAAAATTTATCTGCCAGTTAATGAGCTCAGACGACCATAACTACATTTGTACAAAGAAAATAGCACAACATTAGCTTTTTCTCTATCTAGTTCTGGTTTAAACGCTAAATGTGATGTTAAGATGTTTTCTGTAAAGAAATTATTATTTCACAGATTTTATATTCTCTCTTTTTAAAATATAATTTCTAGTGATATATACTATAGCCATATCCTTGTTTTAAAAAACTATTTTTGTTGTTATTTTGTTGTGGTGGTGGTTAATATTGTTCTATGAGGTTTCACTATGTAGATAAGTGGGCCTTGAATTCATGAATCCTCCTGTCTCCACTTCCCAGGTACTGATTTTAAAAGTATGTAATTACTTGATAACACTTTTTTTTTTCTAAAATAAAGGTATTCTTAACATGAGAGACAAAGAATGGAGTCAATTTCATCCCTTGGTTGTATACAGTTTCTTTGCTGATTAAAAAGAGTGAGCTCATCATTAAACCAACCCTCTTCACAATGATAAAACAAAAATCCCTTTGTACAAGTTCAGGCAGGGAATCACTAAGAATTATCAGTGTATAATTATTATATATTATGCATTATTATAACTATGTCCTAGCATAAAAATGAATGATTTCTGTTTGAAAAAAGTACAGTTTTTTCATATACATTATGAGATCTATATTAAGTGAAAATTGAGAAGCTGCAAATGGATTCATAATTATTGATAAAGAAATATCAATATTAGTCATCAACAATGGATTAATAGCAAAGCAGATTATGCATGTGGCCATAGTTAATCTGGTAAATTGCTAAGCCTTTAATGTTTGTTATTGCATATTGACTTAAACCTAAAAATAGAAAACAAGAAAGAATTGTTTTAATCCCAAGGACAACCCACCTTCTAGATATTTTTCATAGTAAAAATAAAAAAAATATTTTTAATTTTTTAAAAATTTTCTTTTACATTCCATAAATAGTTCTTTCCCCACCCACCCCTGCCTCCCCGAGTCTGTCGCCTATCCACTCTTCCCAAAGACTAAGGGCTCCTATGGAGCTGAAGAGATTGTTCAGCTGCTAAAGGCTAGGCTCACTCACAACCAAAAATTATTATTTTGATTAAACATGGATCAATTTAATGCAGAAATATACTAGTCATTATATATAGACATATATGCACACAAACATATGTACCTATATATATGTATTTATAATCACTTACAAATTCATATATTTCTCATAAAATTAGCAAAAAAATTATAACACCAAAGTGGCATTGACAATATATTGATAATTTCTGCTGCCTTTGAGAATTATAATATTTGCTTCATAAGGTTTTGTAATGCTAAACTACCTGTGCAAAGGAATGTGTGTGGGTGAAGTTTTGATCTACATGAAGAAATGATATATTTCTACTGTCAGTATCAATATAATAGACTTGTATTTTCAATTAAATATTTAAAATTAATTCATTTTTTCCTTATGAAACATTATACATGGATGCAGTGATCTAGATATCCAGATGTTTTATCCTACTTAAATGGAAGCACCATGAGAAAAACAGTGTATATTTCTTTACTTTCCCTTTATTGATATTGCAAAAACACAAATACTTTCTAGTGGATTGCAGGCACTCAATATACCAGATAAGTAAGTAAATTCATTCATGTAAACTTATGGCTAGAACTGAATAAAAGTGCAGTTAAAATAACAATCCTGTAACATTTGGAAATAATATCTACGAATTTAGATTGAACAAAATAAATATAAATCATCCATTTAATTTATAAGACTAATTGCAAATTATGTACATATATTTATATAATCTCAAATATCAAAGTTAACCGAAAAGAAGATATAAGATTATATAGAAGCCACAATATGCACTTCATTTAAATTATGAATGCAAAAGGGCAATTAAAATGAAGTATGTTCTATTTATTTGTTTTAATAATATAATGTACCATGCTTTTTGTATAGTATTTATGTTTGGTTTTTGTTTTAACATAGAACTTGTATAAAAGCCTGAGTGAAGTGAAGGCTGAAGTGGAAATGGTAATTAAAACAGGACGTCAAATTGTGCAGAAAAAGCAGACAGAAAATCCAAAAGAGCTTGATGAAAGAGTAACAGCTTTGAAATTGCATTATAATGAACTGGGTGCAAAGGTGAGTGCCTACTTAGACCAAATTCACATTTTATAATATTTACCATATATTGTTAAACAACAGGCAAAGAAAAGATATACAATACCACCTTTATTGTATGCACAATACAACCCTTACTGTGCACCTCTGTCTCATTTGAGTATTTCCAAAGAAAACGATATCAAGATACATTTAGTCACAGACCAAGCTACACAACTGTCACCGGATACAGAAGGCCTAGGTCAGTCTCATGCAGGCTCCCTAGCTGTTCGTCCAGAGTCTGTGAGTTCCCACAAGATTAGGTCAGCTCTGTTTGGGGCCCCTATAACAGTGGGACCAGGACCTGTTTCAGATGCATAAGCTGGCTCTTTGGAATCTATTTCCTATGGAGGGATGCCTCTGCCAGCCTTGATAAGGCCCAGGAGCTTGGTCCTGCCTCAACTTGGTATGTTGTGCCTTGTTGACTCTCATGGGAGGCCTTACTCCTTCTGAATGGAGAAGAAGGAGGAGTGGATGGAAGGGGTGGTAGAAGGGATTGGATCACAAAACTGGAAGAGAGGAGGGAATGGAAACTGTAGTTGGCGTGTAAAATAAGAAAATGAATAAACTTAAAATATATACAAATAATCTCTGTCCATATAAATTGAAAAGAAAAGAAAGGTTAAGGAGGTACTTATTGGTAAATCAGGTAGTTATAAAAGGGTTTTCTTATTCTGAAGCCTTTCTGTTCAGTGGAAGAAATCTATTTGCTTTGGCTGGAAGATTTGTACATATTTAATATTCAGTCATAATAGGAGTAACACATTTAGAATGAATTTGGTGGAGTGAAATTAGCACAGTTTTACATTAACACAGAAATTTATAGATTTGTTTGAATTATTTTACAAACATTCTCTGAAATATTTATGCGTATATACATGTGTTTGGAATAATACCTGTTCCTTATTTCCTCCCCTCCTATTCCTTCCCAGTCCATTCTTAATATTATATAATTGTTTTTTCTTTTCTCTTTTTGATGATGTTGCTTCATGGGGAACTATCATGTTTAATACTTTTTTGACAAGATCATTATTAAAGAATTTCAATTTTCAAGTCTGAATGCTCAATTCACAAAAGCTTAATATTTACTACCATTTCTATACTGAAATTTTTTTCTGTGTACCTCAAAGACTTTCCAGTTCCTAGTTTTATTTTTATTTATTTATTTATTAAAGATTTCTGTCTCTTCCCCACCGCCGCCTCCCCTTTCCATCCCCCTCCCCCAATCAAGTCCCCTTCCCTCATCAGCCCAAAGAGCAATCAGGGTTCCCTGCCCTGTGGGAAGTCCAAGGGCCACCCTGAAATTTTTTGATGTGTGCTTTTTATTTATTTTTTAGACAGGGTCTTATGGAGCACATGACATTCTTGAATTCACAATCTAGCTGAGGCTGACTTTGAACTCCTGATCCTCTGCCTCCATCATTCAATTGCTGAGATTACAATAATATTCTACTAGGCCTGGTTAATGTGTGTGCTTTATATATAATTGTCTGTGCCAATTCTTTGCACAAATCCATTGCCTTTCACATGAGTAGTTTTTACGTAGCACACTACAGACAAAGATCACATGGAAGGTAGAGCAACAAAAGTAAAATTAGAAGACTGTTAAGATCATCACTTGATTATTATTAAGAATTTAATGAATATAATAATGATGCTAATCCCTATTTATCCCAGAAGCTACAAGTTTGATAGTTTATGCTTAATAATTTGACATTTAGTAATATCATTAATACAAAGTGATAGGAATACAAATAAATAATTTTTAATAGCATGTCAGAATGCTATTAGATAGAAAAATGCTTTGAATAGAAGAAATAAATTTGTATTTGAAGTAAATATTAACTTAGAATATCAATGATGAAAGGATTGTATATTAATAGCATCATAAAAAACTGTTATATTTAATGTATTTCTTGCCTAAGAAAAATAATTTTCTCTTCACTGACCTTCAAAATATCTTCAACATAAGTAATATTTTCACAAAACAAAGACAAAATGTTTTATTTGATGAAGTCATTCTTTTAATATACAAATAGAAAACCATTCTAATTTAATTCTCAGAATTTACATGCTGGTACTTTAGTTTATATTGCCATTTGTACTAAATAGTTTATACTACCACTACAACATGATGTACTGGGGAAATACCAATATAAGTAATGTTTTTCTTCAAACTTCTAGGGCTTGTCCTTCCGAGCTCAGAGAGGTGAACAATTCAGGGTACACGAATGTTGCTCCAGTCTCTGTGATCTGCTAGGAGCCCTGCTTAGTTACTTCTGTGGACCTTGTTCTCCTGGTATCCTCAACCCCTGTGGCTCCTGAAGCTATTCCCTCATCTCTTCTGTGGGGTTCCCCTGGCTTTGCCTAGTGTTAGACTGTGGGGTTCTGCATCCGCTCCCATCAGTTGCTGGATGTTGTCTCTCTGATGACAACAGGGCTAGAAACTGATCTATGAGTATAGCATTATATTCCCAGTTGTGTTTTCTTCCATCTTAGATTCCTGCGCTGTCCAGCTTGTTTGTTAGGCATCTAGTCAATGTCAGGTGTGTACTCCCTCTTCTGGCATGGGACTCAAATTGAGCATCCACCGGTTGGACACTCCCAGACGTTCTGTACTACTGTTATGCCAACACATCCTGGAGGTTGGGCAGATTTTAGGTTGAAGGGCTTGTGACTGGGTTGATATTACAGTCCCACTGCAGGAAGACTTGCCTGGTTACAGAAGATGGCCAGTTCAGGCTCTGTATCCTGCATTGCTAGGATCCTTTGCTACGATCACTCTCAAAGATTCCAGGGAGTTGCTTCACACCAGGTTTCCACAGAGTCCAACAGAAGCTCACCAATTCCAGTTGTCTCTCCCAGCACGCTCACCAACCCCCCACCTAACTCCTTATGTTCTGATCCCAAGCTGCCCCTAATCCCCTCAGAAAATCTATTCTATTTTGTCTTCAAGGGAGATCTATGTGCCCCACCTTAAGTCCTCCTTGTTAGTCAGACTCTCTGGGTTTGTGGTTTGCAACATTAGCCTTTCTTTATAACTAACTTCCACTTATAAGTGAGTGCGTAGCATGTTCGTCTTTCTAGATCTGAATTACTGCAATTCAGATGTTTTTTTTTTCCCTAGTTCCATCCATCTGCCTGCAAATTTCATAATGCTTCTGTTTTCAATAGCTGTGTAATACATTGTATAAATGTACCACATTTTCTTTGTTCATTTTTTGGTTAAGGGACAAGTAGGTTGTTTCCAAATTCTGGCTATTATGAATAAAGCCACTATAGCAAGTCTATAGCTAACAACACATTAAATGGAGAGAAAATAAATGCAATTCTAAAATCAAGAAGAAGACAAGGTTGTCCACTCTGTCGATATCTATTTAATTTTGTACTTGAAGTTCTGGTGGAAACACTAGGAAAACTGAAGAAGACCAAGTAATATAATTTGGAAAGGAAGAAGTCAAACTATGAATATCCACAGATGATATGTTAGTATATGTAAGTGACCACGAAGATCTAGCACAAAACTTCTATTATTTACAAACCCAGGGAGTACCGAGGCCAGTTTCACGAGGGGCAGCAGAGGATCACCAGAGGCCTTAGCGGGTCCCCTTGGTAGGTGGGAGACCATGGAGAGTGAGAAACAAGCCATACAGAGAGAGTTTGGGTATAGAGTTTATTTAGCCGGTTATGGAGGCAGAAAAGGGAAAGAAGAGGGAAAGAGGAGAAGGCAGAGAAGAGACTGGGGGGGGGGGCATGGAGAGAAGGCATGAGTTCAGCTTGCCTCAGCAGGAACGGGGGAGATTGGGGGTGAGTGGAGCTTGTCTCTTAAACGAACAGGGTACCCAGGTGACAGACCAAACAGCAGATTGTAACAGTCCCATTTCTTTCTTATAATAAAAAGGCTAGAAGTTAGGCATAGCAGGTTGAAGGAATTGGGACAGCGGATTCTCAACATTGCTTCCTGCTTATTTGTGGAGTCATCTTGGGGGGGTAGAGGCTGAGAAAGTTGGGTGCTGGTCACATTCTGGGGTAACTGATCACTTTTCTCCTGTTCAGGCTTTGTGGTATGGAACTATCTGGTGTCTCTTGGACCTGGCAAGGTGTTGGTAGAATAGTCGACAAAGTTAAGATTAGAAAGAAAAAAAAAAATAGGACCGGGGAATTGAGAGGGGTGTATCTGACCTGTTTAAGGATCATTCTTCAATTTGGGTCCCAGGAACACATAAGAATTTTTTAAGTTTATGAAAATATAAGTTTTAAACATATACATTGTATAAACAGTAGCATATTTATGGCAGAATGACTGTGACTGATGGTTTTGCACAATGAAAAGTATTTTTAAGACTGAAAGGCAGTATGAGAGAGAAATTTGATAACATGTGTTTTTCTCACACCTTTATAACTTGCAGGCACACACCATAATAACTTGCATTTGTATAACTTAAAATACCCTTTATTTAGAACATATTAAGAAGTTGTACTAAAATTTGTTTGGTGAGTTTCTCCTTTTAAACTGATAAAATCTTTTAGCTGTCAAACTGCATCAGAGATCTTTGAGAAGAATAAAATTTTATTTGAGTTATTGACTAAAAAACAACAGAGACTCTCCTCAGGGACCTCCTTGGTCCTTGAGAGTCGTGTTTACCTTTTGTTGTTAGAAGAAGATCCTGCAAGTTAGAAAATATGTAGGAAGACAACCCTACCTTGACCTGAGCAGCTAGGCTGTCGATTCCATTGATAGTGTCCACTGTCTGGAGACCCCCAGTTTACATGAAAAGCAGTTTTTTTCCCAATGGAATCACTTTCACTTGATGACGTGAATTGCAGATGAATGTTTTCTGCCCATCTGTCTTCTGTCTTTTTTGGAGGAAGTAGAGTGCTGCTGCTAGGAGTCAACCTGTCTCTCTGTTATGAGAAGTCTTTTAATAATTAAACATTTAAATGTCATATTCCCCAGATCTCTGAGCAGTTGAAGGCTGTTT